AGATGTTACAAATTCCAAAAATTCGGTCACGTAGCGGAAGTGTGCAGAGGCAAACAGAGATGGGCGCGGTGTGGAGGTGATCATGAATATGGCAAGTGTGGGCAAGGTGTAAATCCTAAGTGCTGTAATTGTGGAGGAGAGCACAGTGCAGGTTACGGAGGATGTCTAGTAAGGAAAAATGCGGTGAAAGTTCAAAATGTCAGAGTGGCTGAAGGAATATCATACGCTGAGGCTCTAAAGAAAGTAAAACAAACACCCAAAATAATTGAAACTAAGACAACAGCACCACAACAAAAAACAATGTTGAAAGGGCAAAGTAAAGAGAGAGAAATGATTGTTGATAAAGTGTCGTTCGTAGCATTCATAGCAGAAGTGGTGAATTGCTCCGCTCAAACTGAAAGCAGGACAGAGAGAATTAAAATCATTATCAGAGCTGCTGAAAAGTATTTGGAGTTAGAGGATGTTACAGTAGATATGATAAACGAAAGGCTTAAGATGCAAACAGTAAACAGTCAGACAGAAAACAGCCAAACATGTGGTGGTACATAATGGTGATAACAATATTGCAATGGAATGCAAGAAGTTTAATTGCCAATGGACAAGAATTAAAAAATTTTATAACAAATCAAGAAAATAGTCCTGTCATTATATGTGTTGAAGAAACGTGGCTTAAACCGCAATTACATTTTTTAATTCATGGATACATTACAGTCAGAAGAGATAGATGTAAAGGAAATGGTGGTGGGGTAGCAACATTTATTAAACAATATATTGGGTATAGAACAGTTGAGGTAAATGGGGAGCAAGAGGTTGTAGTGGTTGAAATATGGGAAGGAGTACAGAGTATTAGAATAATTAACTTTTACAATCCATGTGACATATTAAGCAAGGATAAACTAGAAAATATTGGAGGAAATGGAAGTCATAAAGTGGTGTGGTGTGGTAATTTTAATGCACACAGCACATTGTGGGGGAGTACTAACACAGTTACAATGGATTGATCATAGAAGACATGCTAGATTGGGGAGGATTAGTGTGTATCAATGATGGAAGCTATACAAGAGTTGATTTGTCACAAGGAAAATATTCAATTTTAGACTTGACACTAGTCTCTGAAAGTTTAGCTGGAAAATGTGATTGGAAAGTATTAAATCAAAGTACAGTTGTAGGTGATCATTTTCCTATCAGCAGTACAATTGGTTTAGATATAGCACAAATTGTGGTGGAAAGAATGCCCAGGTGGAAATTTAAATCAGCCAACTGGGATACATTTAAGGAGTTATGTCATAACAGAATGTCTGAATTTAGTAAGTCTATGGAAGATGTAGAGGTGTTTAATTATCAGTTATGTGAAATTCTTCAGAGTACTGCTGAAGAAGTAATAGGTAAGAAGAAGGCTAGTGAGGAGAGTAATACGGACATCTAAGAGAAATTATTGGAGGGGATTGTGCGACAATATTGGGGAAGATATTGAAATTAATGAAGTATGGAGTATGATAAGAAAAATGGGAGGGAAGCAAAGAAATAGCAGCATACCTGTATTAGCATATAAAGAAAGACTTGTGATATCAGACAGTGGAAAAGCGGAGGCGCTAGCAGAAACATTTGTTAAAGTGCACAGTAACTCAAATTTGTCAGAAGAAAGGAGGAGGTATAGGGAGTATAACTTGAGTATGAACCCTCAATTACTGGAGGAAAAAGGACCATCTGGATGTACTTTAGATTCAGAGTTTACTCTGTATGAGCTGAAGAAAGCTCTTGCAGAAGGCTCAAGTTAAAGATGAGATACTGGATTAATATAAAAGGACACTTAGATAATCATCCAGTTAAGAAAGTTCTGAAGGATTGCTGGAATATGAATATAAAAAAACTATCAAGCTTTGGATGGACTGCCAATGAGGAGGCACAGAATATGGGAATTAGTGACATCAATATTGCCCCTTCTGTGGCAACTTCAGCAATTCCTCCTTGGCTTTTCCCTATGCCTGTAGTTGACATTCAGCTATATGAAGAAAAACATAACCAGGAAAGAAGTATGTTAACAAATATAGCAGTGCAGCAATACATTGAACAAACTTATTATAGCATATTGCAAATATACACGGCTGGCTCTAAAGATCCTGAATCTGGAATAACAGCAGCAGCAGTCTATATACCCCAATTCAAAGTCAAAATTTCAAAAAGATTTTCAGATCACATATCTGTTTTTACTACAGAGACAATAGCAATATTCCTAGCTCTTCAGTGGATAGAAGAAGTACAGCCAATAAGGTCAGTAATTTGTACAGACTCCCTTTCAGTTTTAAATAGCTTGCTAAGTGGAATTTCAACAGCAAGGCAAGATATCATTTTTGAAGTGATGCAGAGTCTATTTAGAATAAGGCAATCTGGTCTTATGGTAAATTTCCTGTGGGTACCATCACATATGGGTGTGGAAGGAAACGAGGAGGCAGACCATCTGGCTAAACAGGCTCTGAAACATGCACAAATTGACATTAAAGTGTCAATGAGTAAAGCAGAAGTAAAAGGGTTAATTGCAAATGAAATAAGAAAGAAATGGCAGAAGGAGTGGGATAGTGGAACAAAAGGTAGACACTTTCATCATGTTCAAGAGAAAGTAGGTCAAGAAAGAAGAAAGTATGGCAACAGGAAAGAAGACATTTTAATGTCAAGAATGCATATTGGACATTGTTCGTTAAGCAGTGTCTGTATAGAATGGGGAAGCATGAAACTGGAAATTGTGACAAATGTGGTCATGCAGAATCAGTAGAACATGTAATTATAGAGTGTGATGCATATGAAGGAGCAAGATTTCAACTAATTCAAGTTTTAGGATCATTCGGAATAAATAATTTGTCACTTCAGGTTCTGTTAGGAAATGGCCCAAAGCAATCAAGAATATTTCATGAATTAGTTATTTTCTTAAAAGAAACAAGACTGATCAATAGAATTTAGGATACAGTTGTAGTAAATAAAGCGGGAATAATTGGCGTTGTATTTTAGTTTTTGGCTATAGGCTAGTTCTCAAACTTCCAATCAATTATGCACTCCACACTCCTATCCAGTAGGTGGCGGGAATGCACCATTTAAGTTGGTTTGCCAACCGCCATTAAATTTAAAAGAAGAAGAACCGGAAGTCTCGCCCATAGGCTTACTTCCGCGCCAATTTGGTAGACATCGCCCAACCCTACTGCTTTCCATCTGCTGGACCTACACAGTGGCCTTCCATCCCTCCGCTCAGGCCTTAGCGTCTTGTGGGGCCAAGTCCTTGACTTAAAGCAGCAATATTTGCATCTGGCAGTATTGCTTACTTGGAGATTAATAGTTATTTGTATATCATTATTATATTTATTTATTTTAAAGAGTCTCATAAATTGAGGCTCTGAAGATCACCTCTGAACCCGTTATGGCACCACAGCTTCCTTTAATGAACTCAGGCCAAACATCTACTGGTATCTGCCATCTCTCACACTAAAATGAATACAACTGATAAATATCAGAGGTATTTAAAAAACTGTATATCACACTCTGTTAAAGAAATTTCCAAAATCTGGCATGTTTTCTCAAACTGTCCTGTTGTTTGTGTGTACCAAGTTTTGCGATTTGGAGATTGCATTCACAAAAATAGACCTAGTGATTTTTTTTTTCTTTTCAGTTTGACATGATGTACAAACATGTCAAGGGCATCTCGTTAATAACCATGTGATTTTAAAGAGAAGGAACATTTAAACTGGGAATGATTCCTATGAATGGATCCCCAGCTGCAGCCAGTAATGTATGGCATGGTTGTGACTGGATTACAAGCCTGTTTTTGCTCATTCCAGACAGATTGTAAAGTCTGTTAGTGGTGAGGAATTTTAGTCACTCTTTCTGCAAGTTACATTGATACACCAGTAGGTGGCAACAAGTCAGTAGCCAAGTGACTGTCTTTATGAGTGATTCACTGAATCATTCACTCAGTAGATTCATTCAAATAGAAAAGGAAAGATTCGGTTTTAAAAAAGAGTTGTTCCTCCCATTCCATCACCACTAAAAATGTACTGATATAAACCCAAAACTGAGTGCCAGTGCTATATCGGTTTATCTTTCTTAAGTGATTTCGACAGTCACATGGTAATAAAGATTAAACGTTTTACATCACAACAGCAACTTAATATAAGACAGCACTTAAATGTTTGAATACTTTTATTTGAGAGGTTTCATACATGTACTCACTGTGAGCATTCAGAGCAAACATTTACAGCACTAAATTAAATTCTGTTTAATGCTCATTTATTATCATTTATAGGGTTCTGAAATTATACATCTCTTTTTTTTAGTCTCAAAGAAGTAAAAACATAAGCAAACTGCCTACTTCTGACAGCCAATCTTCACAAATGTACATCGTTTTATTTTAGAAAATAACCAAACGCAACAAACTGGGAAATATTATTAAATCTTTCCCTATTATTAAATGCACAATGAATTGAATGTACATCTTTCTATCAAGGGGATGAAATTAATAAACCATAATCTAACAACTTACAGACACGATGAAATGAAACAAACAGAAGAAAATGTATACTCAGGGCTACCAATGAGAGACTGGAAGGCTTAGTGGTCATAGTGGTTATATAAATCAACCAATCTTTCGAAGAGACTGGCTAACTTAAAATTTGTCTATTTAAAAAAAATATTATACACATTTTTGGTCATGTAATGAATAACTGAGGCTGAACAGCTATACCTTAAAAGACCAAGAAATTATATGTATGGTATTAAGCATCCACATAATTTATGTTTGATGGATGTTTAAATGTTCTCATCAATAAAAGAAAATAATACATCACTAGGTGAACTAGATGAATTTAGATCAACTGCATGTGAAAGAACTTTAACATTTTTTAACAAGTTCAGTGCAATTCATATAGGATATGTATGGGGTTAGACTAACCATTTCAAGTGACAACCATGAGGACAATCTTGTTCATGAAGATTGCAAAGTGCTGGTTTGTCCATTTTGCTGAATGGTAAACAAGATTAACGAATGGTTAACATTATTTTCATGTGAAGAAAGCACCAACACAGGCTACTGAAGCCAAAACATATACATGAAATGCAGTATTGTTTTCATCGGTGCATGGATTCTTTTGAAAAATCAAGGTGTATTATTCCATGCCATCCACTGGGAGTCTGGGATGCACTCTCTGAGGTAGCCATGAATATGACCAACAACTTAAAGAAAATGTTAACACAAAAACACAACATAGCATCGTTGTTGATAAACAGATAAAGAGTAAAATCTCTTTCTCCACTTCGTTTCATTCGAACACTGATATTTACCGTGGGCTCACCTTAACCCTTCAAATGACCACTGTTGGGCATCAAGGACAAGAAATCAAATCAGTCAGTTCATGTTTGTTTCCTTTATCCTCCTCTGCTCAGCTCATCCACTCTTCTTCCAATCGTTTCGATAAAGTCTCCTGCAGTGCATCTACACAAGCTACAAGATCTTCATGCAGACTTGACAGCGACTGATGCGTGACCGGTACTCAACTCCCTTCAGCGTCTCCTGGGAAGGACCCTGGACGAACTGTTCGTTCTGCTCTACTGTGGTCAACCAGAAACTGTACTTGTTGGCAAAGTAGTGGCAGGTGCCGTGGGCACCGTTGCATTCGATGAAGGGGGTGGCGCGGAAATCCTCCAGACAAGAACCGGGAGACACCAATGACTGACCGCCTCCTTCTGCACCTGCGGCTGTGTGCTGAAGGACAAACATAAATGTTATAAAGTTATACAGTATGTAGGTAGTTTTAACATTGCCAAAATAAAACGTACTTTACTGCATCTTTGAGGAGACTAGAAAGTAAGATTTTCCAAAAATATCAAAATCATTCTAAATTTATGAACATTTAAAAATATTCAATTATTTATAGTAAATAGCTTACATACATATAAAACGTCATTTATAAATGGTCAACATATCTTTTATTGTGTTAACTGTCAAGCGTTTGAACATTATTTTATACAGATGAGTGAACATGTACTACATTAGCTGTGTCGCATTTCGAAGGCTGCGCCCTCCGGAGGTCACATTCGAAGGCTGCATACGTCATCGAGGCGGTCTCATTTCAGAAAAGAAGTAGGACACTCCGAATGCGACCTTCTTTCACAGGAATTCGGAGGATGCATGAAGTGTATCCTTCGCTGCTACAGATAACCCACAATTCTTTGCGTCGCCATAAACAACCGTCATTTATTTGAAAAAAAAAAATAAAAATGGCGGCGCCGGCAGATGTAACGTTACACAGAAGCGAAGATGTGGTGTTTAAATGGAAGTATTTTCAAGTTTTTCTTTTAAGTTGTATTACCTCAGTTGGTAGATGTGGTAAACAGGATTACAAGTGTTTAGTGATTTTTAAATGTTGAGAATAGTACTTTCCTAACAAGGTGAGAAATTAAAGGGGTCATATAATGCTATTTTAAAGATCCTTATTTTGTGTATTTGGTTTAACAGAATATGTTGACATGCTTTAATGTTAAAAAAACACATTATTTTTCAAATACTGTACATTATTGTATGTCCTCTATGCCCCGCCTCTCTCAAACACGTCCTTTTCAACAAAGCCCCCTCCTTTGACAAGCACAGTCTGCTCTGATTGACCCAGTGCATTGTGATTGGCCGAACATCACAAGCACGCGTCGGAAATGTAAAGGCCCTTACCATAATCGCGAGCTTCAGCTTTCAAAGTAAATATCAAGACAGTTAATAATGTTGTTAATTTTACCATCAGTTTAAGCCTGAAAGGGCAACAGAGTCAGTGATGAGCAGTACACATGCTGCATTTAAGACAGCTGCTATTATTTCTGACAGGCAGTTCACTCTCCTGTGATGTGACCCTGTTCCCCTCACACACACACACACACACGACGTGTTACTCTGCGCAAAACTCCGCATTTGAACAGTCAATAGCAAATACTTAAACTAATAACAAAACATACTTACAGTCGCTGATTCAGAAGCGCCAGATTGTCACAGCAAAGTCGGAATTTACCCTTTTTTTTTTTTTTTTGAAATAGCCTTTGTGCACAGCCAGCCTTGTACTCTTCTAGGTTCAAAAAACTGTCGTCCATAAAATGCGTTGCACAAATTCGAACATCTGGGTTGTGCTGTTCTGTTGTAAATAAATCTTAACCAATGATACCTAATTGATCTACTTCCGGAAGGCCAAATAGAGTGGTTTTGCTTTCGCACTGAAATACACAGCGTCTCCCTGACATGGCTGCATCAACACTACTGCTGTTCCTGAAACCGCGCCTTCTTTCTTTGCGTGCACATTTGGGCGACATTATGCTAATATTTCCACATATTGACGTAGACATGTGGGGGGTGTTAGAATGAGCCGTTTTAGGTAGGCGTGGTTGACTCTTAACTTTTATAAAGAATATCTCTTTGAGACTTTAGTCTTTGCAACTTTACAGATCTTCTTTATGCACCAAGAGCTTGTAACACTCCAAAGAGAAAG